CCATAGAGAATCTAAGCAAATATGTCTGGTCGATAACTGGGAGTACAGACCAGGAGCTGAATAGAGTAGATTGGGGCTGGAAATACAGATTTAGGAATCTATAAGCAAGGGAATTAGCCCAGAAAAGTGGATGACACTATAGAGAGGGCTGAAATTGAGAAGAGAAGAGAGAGAAGTATGAAATGCCAGGAAATATCAGTGTTTAATGGACAGAAGGAGAAAGAGGAATCAAAAAAGTCTGATTACAGGCCGGGCGCGGTGGCTCACATCTGTAATCCCAGCACTTTGGGAGGCCGAGGTGGGTGAATCACTTGAGGTCAGGAGTTCAAGACCAGTCTGGCCAACATAGTGAAATCCCGTCTCTACAACAAATACAAAAATTAGCTGGGCATGGTGGTGCGTGCCTGTAATCCCAACTACTCGGTAGGCTGAGGCAGGAGAATCATTTCAACCTGGGAGGCAGAGGTTGCAGTGAGCCGAGATTGTGACAGAGTGAAACTCCATCTCAAAAAAAAAAAAAAAAGTCTGATTACAGAGGTGGGTAGTAAGGCTGGAAAGTCATTTTGCTAAGGCCAAATAAGGCAATCATTGTCTTAAGTGCTACAAAGAAGTCAGTGTGGGAATCTGACAAAGTATCTTTAGATTTGAAATGAGCAAGTCATTGAGACAACAACTTCAATGGCGTCACTGAAATTGAAGTCAGGCTACAGAAAAAGTATGATGTACATACAGAAAGTACAGATAGAAAGTCAAGTGATTGTTTTTCTCAAAGTTTAGTCATGAAAGGAAGAAAAGATAAGGCAGCAGCGAGACTGAGGGAGAAGCAGGGTGAGGTGAACTCAGGAGGATTTAAGCCACCTTTAGAGGGCGAGAAGGAGGCAATAGAACACGAAAGAGTGAAGTTTTGAAAAATAATGTAGGCTGGGCGCGGTGGCTCAAGCCTGTAATCCCAGCACTTTGGGAGGCCGAGGCGGGCAGATCACGAGGTCAGGAGATTGAAATCATCCTGGCTAACCCAGTGAAACCCCGTCTCTACTAAAAAAATACAAAAAGCTAGCCAGGCGAGGTGGCAGGCGCCTGTAGTCCCAGCTACTCGGGAGGCTGAGGCAGGAGAATGGCGCAAACCCGGGAGACGGAGCTTGCAGTGAACTGAGATCCGGCCACTGCACTCCAGCCTGGGCGACAGAGTGAGACTCCGTCTCAAAAAAAAAAAAAAAAATGTGTAATTTACCAAGTAAGGCTCTAGAGAAGTCAGAAGTCAGGAGGGATTAGGATTGAAAGCATAGGATGGGGGAAAGAAAGCATAGGTGGAGAGATACGAGGAAGGAGATAAGAAAATACAAGATGTAACTGAGTTTGAAAGTAGAGGAGAGGCAGCTGAGAAAATTTTTGCCTTTTAGATCTTGTTTTTGGAGGGAAATACACAATAGGACTTTGTTGGCAATAGAGTCATTATGAATGGGGTAGGGGACTTGAGAAGAGTATAAAGGTGTGGAACAGATGCTATGGGGGAATAGGGTAAATGAAAAAACGGCAGCATCCAAGGCCTGGCTGAGATTTGCTCTCATTAATTTGTAATATGGTTCTTTATTAAACAAATACTTTTGGCCAGATGTGGTGGCTCACGCCTATAATCCTAGCACTTTTGAGAGGCTGAGGTGAGCTGATCACTTGAGCCCAAGAGTTCAAGATCAGCCTGGACAATGTGGCGAAACCCCATCTCTACAAAAAATACAAAAAAAATTAGCCGAGAGTGATGGTGAGTGCCTGTAGTCCCAGCTACTTGGGAGGCTGAGGTAGGAGGATCGCCTGAGCCTGGGGGTGTCTAGGCTGCCATGAGCCGTAATCATGCCACTGCACTCCACCCTGGGTGACAGAGTGAGAACCTGTCTCAAAAATATAAAATAAAATAAAAATCACCACTTTTCCCCCAGCAATTTCTATCAGCCTAAGAGTAGAGGCAAATTAATGGGCAAGTGGATTGGCAAGAGGCATGCTTAGAGAATTGAAGATATTAGTAAATGTCAGGGTGCAAAGTAGACCAAGAACTGGGATTGTCAATTTTGAAAGGTTTAAAGAACAAAACTTTGAGATAGCTTAGTAATAGCTTAATAGATAGTTTAGGAAGACAAGCTTAAAGAAGATCTTAAATCTACATGAATAACAAATTGACAGACAGGTGGAGAGATGACAACAGTTAAGGAGAAGGTGGCAGGAGGTTTTGTGCCCAGAGGTCAGGCAAGAGTTCAAAGAATTTGTATTAGCAAAGTCTAAGAAGTACTATTTTTTTTTTTTTTTGCACAGCATATCTTTTATTTATTTATTTTATTTGACATGTGCTGGTCTACTTTTTATTTAAATTTTTATATATTTCGGGGGTACAGGTACAGATTTCTTTTTTTTTTTTTTTTTTAGACGGAGTCTCGCTCTGTCGCCCGGGCTGGAGTGCAGTGGCTGGATCTCAGCTCACTGCAAGCTCCGCCTCCCTGGTTTACGCCATTCTCCTGCCTCAGCCTCCTGAGTAGCTGGGACTACAGGCACCCGCCACCTCGCCTGGCTAGTTTTTTGTATTTTTTTAGTAGAGACGGAGTTTCACCGTGTTAGCCAGGATGGTCTCGATCTCCTGACCTCGTGATCCGCCCGTCTTGGCCTCCCAAAGTGCTGGGATTACAGGCTTGAGCCACCGCGCCCAGCCCAGATTTCTTATATGTGTATGTTACAGAGAGGTAAAGTCTGGTAAGAAGTAATATTAACTTATGGTTTCAGCAATTTAAAGACAGGCCTTTTAATTTAAGACAGTCCTTTTAATCTAAGCTGGTTGGATCTGGGGCCCAATGAGAAAACCACCTTGATTCAGAAAACAAAAAGAAACAGGTCAGGCCAGGCATGGTGGCTCACACCTGTAATCCCAGCACTTTGGGAGGCCAAGACAGGTGGATCACCTGAGGTCAGGAGTTCAAGACCAGATTGGCCAACATGGTGAAACCCCATCTCTACTAAATGTACAAAAATTAGCTGGGCATGGTGGTGGGTGCCTGTAATCCCAGCTACTCAGGAGACTGAGGTAGGAGAATCACTTGAAACCCGGGAGACAGAGGTTGCAGTGAGCCAAGATTGTGCTAATGCCTTGCAACCTGGGTGACAAGAGCAAAACTCTGTCTCAAAAAAAAAAAACAAAAGGAAAGAAAAGCAGCGCAGTTGCTCAAGCTGTATTCCCAGGCACTTTGGGAGGCCGAGACAGGCG